AGCTTTGTAAGGCCTATTGAAGTATTTTTTTATTATTGTAGACATACCTAAACGCTCTTCTTCTCAGCCTTGTGAATCTTTTTACTATTTTTAGATTACTTTTTTAGCTTAAATAAATAAAATAAGCCAGTGTTGTGACTACAGCTAGTTAAGCTTGCAACAAGATAAAATTATTTTTTACACGTATTTAGGCGAATTAAAAACAATATTAGGGAATAATAGGCTTTTATCAGTTGGACACACCTGAGCTCCAGTGAGATTTTGTAGGCCTACAATTAGCATCTCTTTGCTAACTAGCTAACGAGAGTATACACATCCCTCCAAATACTTGACATGCATTGATTTGTTTTCCTAGGGCTGTTTGAGACTTTTATCTCAAGTTTCATGTACAAAATTGGACCCTATCAGATGATATCTCTTGTTCAATTTTGTTCAGATTTAAAAAAAAAGATGTTTAAAGTCAAAATTGGTAGTCAGTTTATCAAGCCCAACAAAATTCAATACATCTTGATATTGTTATCAAGCTAGCGAGATATTTCAAGACGATTCGAATCCCATCCACCATAAAGTGAAAAAAAAGTGAAATTGTTTTTTCAGGGCCAAAGAGTGTACACACACTAAGTTGGCTTAACGTGGCTAATAGCTTTAACAGAACTTTGTTTTTTCTCTGAAAATCTGAAACTCTTTGCTAACACGTTAGCCATATTCTACTGCAGTTTGACATTCATAAGGTTATGATTGTATTTCTTAGGTTACAAAACTTCCACAATGAGTGGAATTAGTGAAGTAACAAATATTTCCTAAGTGAAGAGTTTTAGGGAGGACTGAGATTTCACTAAATAGCCATTAGCATTTATGCTACAAACTTTTTCTGAGTACAGAAAGCTTTGAGCAAATGTTAAAATGTGACGTTTTTAAATCTGTATTTAGCCTAAACTTAACAACTAAAGTCCAGACTAGGTAAGCTAATGAGAGTATTTCCTTTTATTCTGATGTCTTTTTTATTTATTTTTTAAATTTTATTTTACAGTGTAAAGACACCAACATCTTCTCTATGTCTGTCTGACAAATATTTGCTTAGAAGGAACAGTTTCATCATATAAGCCATAAAGTTTAATCAGAAATGGGGCTTTGGTTTGATCTGTTGGATTGAAAAGCTCCTACAAAATGAGAGATAAAATCACAATCCATTTTATTGGCTTTTACTACAAAATAATGTATTACCTTGTTGATTTGTGTAATTAAGTCATTTTAACTTTCTTTGGTTTACCTTTGTTTATTTTTGGCAAGACAAATTACTCATTGTCAGGAACAACAGATAAAAACTCTTGGCTAATTCTGGCGCATTTACAAAACTGTTAATTAATGTGCATTGACCGTACCAACTAAATTAATACATTTCAAATTGATCAGCCATAGATTAATTATATTTTAGATGTAACTTGAGAAAAAACCTCTCCTCTGATGATTTAACCTTTACTGTTATATAGGTTAAATTAAATTCCGATTAAAGTAAGGTTCATAAGAAACAGGGGAGCTCCACACTGAGAGTGATTGACAGCGCTAAGACCCTCCTCCTGGCTCTGATTGGTTGTTCGTAGTTATCACTGGGAGGAGGAGGAGCTTGTTTCCCACAGATTTTATATATTTTATATGTTGTTGTTTTTACATGCTGCCGCTTTAATCTCTCCGTTGGACTAAATCCCACTTCCTGTTCCCTCTGCAGGTGTGTCTGTTGGAGTGTGAGGGTCACGTCTCCACTTCGCTAACATGGGAAGTGTGCAGACGCGCCGTAAAGCTGTCGCACCAGCCCACACTAGCTGAAGGGGGCGCTCTGTTCAAAAGAGCCGGGGAGGAGCCGGACCTGACCCGTCTCGACCTGAACGCCGAGTCGGCGGCAGCTCAGCATCTCCCGGAGCAGGACCAGGACGAGACGCCGTGGGACGAGCGCAGCGTCCAGTATGACTCCTCCCTGCTGGGCTCCTCGGAGGAGGGCGAGAGCCTGCGGGGCCTGGATGTCAGTTTGACCGAGGAAGAGGAGGCCCAGCAGAGGGGGGAGCGGGGCTCCGAGAGCGACGGCCAACTGGACGCCTCCGAGGGCGTCACCTTATCCAAGCGCTTCGGCGGCTTCCAGAGGGGGCGCCACGGGTACAGGAAGCTGATCGGCTCCCCAGTCAGGGGCCTGCAGAAGCGCTACGGGGGCTTCATCGGCGTCCGAAAATCCGCCCGCCAATGGAACAGTCCGAAGTGGATGAACGTGAACCAGCAGCTGCGGTACAGGAGCAGCAGCCGCAGCGGCCGGCCCGGTACCGGCGGCCTCCCCACGAACCGGCGCTGGAGGCAAAGCAAACTGTGAAGCCTCTCCGCTGTCCTCGGGTTACCTCAGCTCATCCCACCTTTTAGTTCTCAGCGGCTCCCTCGGATTTGAACTGTCGACGTGATCAGAACAACAGACTCTCATCTCTTCCACGCCTCTCTTCGTGTCCCTAAGTAACAGAGAATGTTTTGATGTCCCTCCTATTAAACTCACATTTACATGCCATTCTGTGAAATAAAAGAATTAGAGAAGTGCAATTGAATATATTTTTGTGTGTCAATACAATAAAAAGGGGCCAAGTGACACTGGAAAACTGGCTGCTTGTGAAGTTTTTCCACTGAGAAAGCTTCATAAAACACTTTCTTACACTTTTCCTCACATTTCCTTACATACCTCAAATTGCTGTGAACTTCATGGAGATTCTGTGTGTTAGACCAACACGAAGCAGTTCGTAGTTGTGAAATAGAAGGAAAACGATGGCAGAGAAAGATGAATTTATGGATTTCAAACATTTTTATAAATAAAAACCTAAATGGTGTGACATGCATTTCTATTCATCCCCCTTCACTCAGATAACCCTTAATAAAACCGAGTGCAGTGGTCTCCAAGCTTTTGGACTCAGGAATTTAAAAGAAAGAATTGACCTTAGCCAATTGGTCCAATTGACTCAGTTAAAATGGGTAAAGAATTGGCCAGTGTTAACCACTGGCAGGCCACAAAAGGCATTACATTAAAAATGGAAAAAACAAAAAGTTTATTGTGATTTTTTTAAGTAAAAATGTTTTAATGAAATTTGTATTTCATTGAAGAGCCAAAATATAAACAGGGTTGCAGACTGTTGCCGTATTAAAAGAGAAAGACAATTTCAAAATGTTCAGAAAAAAAAAAATCAGTTTATTTTATTTTGAAGATACACCAACACATTTTGGTCTATTTTGTTGCCCAAACAAAATAGACAATCATCTAAAAGAAAAATAGTCAACTTCAAAAAAATTTTGGGGAAAAATAATTCCAAAAATTTAGAAAAATTGTTTTCCCAAAAGTTTTTGGATTTTTTTGTTGTTGAAAACTTTCGGGAAAAAAACTGTTACAAAAAAAAAAATCTTGTTAAAATAGGCAAATAAAATTTGGTCTATATTGTTGACCACATTCGGACCATTCTTCACTTGTGGTGAATCATTACAGTATTAATCTAGTTATTCAGTGAAAGTCTCACGTAGCATCATAAAGATGATATAAAATCTTGATAGAATATATCCTGGTTGTCGTGACACTATGTGGAAAAGCTCAAGGGGAATGAATACTTTCACACTGCCTCTCTTTAAAAGGAAAGCTGGTTCTGTACTTCTGGATGGAAATTGACTCATCAATGTAACTAGTGCAACACAGGCTTACACTTTGAAAAAAAAGACGCATTTTCAGACTCTAAACTAATCCCCACCTTTAACCTACTTATAAATTCTAAGTTTCACGAATGTCACCGCAGATTTAAGTAATTAAATTGGAAATGGACCAGCGCCGTGTTTCTGAGATAGTTCAATTACTTGTAAATAAGGTTGGACCATGGAAGCGCTGAAGCACAAACTCTTAATTACTGCTAGGAGAGTCCAATTTTCTGCTTAAAGAAATTTCATTAATTAAACACAATGGAGATAAAATTGGTTTTTCTGCACTTTGTAAACTCTACAGAATTCTGCACAATCCACGGAATAACGACGGAAAAAGAGACCGTAAAGGAAAATAATAATAATAAAAAAATAAAATACTTGTTCAAATTTTGGCCATTATGTGGAAGTTTTCCTTGGGAGCTCCGAACATTATAAGTTGATTGAGACGAAGTGAAAAGCAGATTTCCGTCACGTAGCTTCTCCCTGTGGAGCATTACTGCCCTCTGGTGTCCGAAGGTTAAAAATGACCGAAATGAGTAAATCAATAAAAACGTTCTCCACTGAATAAACTTAAAGAACTTGGAATCCACACTAGTTTTATAACGTCCCTAATAATTTGGGTTACTTTGAAACTGCCAATTTGTATGATAATCAACTTCTGTTTAAATAAACCAAACAATAAAAACTTGAACAGTTTAAAGTTTGATAAGAAACAAAACAAAACAACAAACATTGTAACATTTATTATTGAACTATTTTCAGCCTCCATACAGAGCCAGCATGGATTTATTCTCGAATATTCTAAGATAATTATCTGCACATATTGTCTACTCAATGGTTTTAGAGCATTCATGCAAAAATCCTAAAAAAAAAGAAAAAAAAAAGAAAAATCTATTAATATACCACCTGAGTGGAGAACTGTGCTGTTCGGTTACTATGACGCACAAAACAATGTTTCTGCTTAATCAAAATAAAAAAAATAAAAAAGTTGTATTTGTTTTGCCATTATGAGCAGGTCAAATCCATTACCGTGCATCTTAATTGTGCTGAAGTGTTTACTAGTGTTTGATTAAAAGATCCAGTGATTCATGCTAATGGCTGTGTGGGTGATGATACACTGTGTTTACATGTAGGAAGCTTAAAAAGTGTTTTTTTCTTTTTTGGAGAACAGTGATCATTTCAGACCACACGTTTGACATCTAACTATGTTTTTGTCTTCATAAACAATCTGGAAATAAACCAACCAAACGGCGTCGCCCTCTCATGCGCTGTTTGCAGAAGGAAGCAAAGGCCCGTTGGAATTCTCAGTGCTTTTTTATTGTGTTTGACAATATATTTCCTCTAGTACAAACTCATTCCTCAAATTCCCGCTGCCGTGACGATTCCAAACATACCTTCAACTGATAAAACCATTAACACTGGGTCCGTGTGCCGACGCCTGGGCAGGAAGGAATTCAGCCTCATGGAAGGAACTTGGTTGAGTCGAACCAAATGTAGCTTATTCTTGTGAGTTAATATTCCAACAAAGTGCCAAAAAACATTAAAAAAAAAGAAAAACATCAGTCAGCCCATTACACAGGCTAGATGAGACGATAATATATATATATATATATATATAAAAAAAAAAAGGTATAAAATGTTCGTACAGAACATCAGAGCACACAATATCATGTACATCATAACCACTGTGTAACAACTGGAAGAGAAAGACTGGAAGAAAAGAGACAGCCAGGTAGCGGTTTGGGGATACAGTGGAGCTACGGGGGGCGGCAATATGAGCTTTGGATTAAAAAAACAACAAAAAAAAAAAAAAAGGAAGAGAGGACTTAGCACATCACATGGTCAAAGTCAGTCAACAGCACCATCGCAAACTTCAGTTTTCAGGATCGAGATACAAAGATACACAAAGAGTCCATCTTCATTCCTTTTAGGAAAGAAACGAAACAAGAAAAAAAATAAGAGAAGAAAACACAAAGAATTTAGTTTTTCTTGATTTATATTCTTGTATTCTCTTTTCAATAAAAGTCTCTGTTCGCACACGTCCGTCCATCCGTCCGTCCGCTCTAGTCGGGGAAGCGCTGGCAGGCCTTTTTCCAGCGGCAGGCGGTGCACCACTGGTCCTTGCGCTCCACACCGTACACCTTGCGGCACTTCTTGGCCTCCCCACGGCCCTTCCTGGAGCGAGACACGAACCAATCGCTGTTATGTACAGATGCATCAGATATTAGCATGTTAAATTATTAACGCGCAATATATCGGCATTAACATTGGTATCAACCAGTTTTAGTCATTCCTTTTAACATATCGATATCGGTCTGATGACTAAAACCGGGCCAATCTTAACAGCTGATGTTTATTTTTATCTTGTTGCCATTTCTGTGTCTGGAAGGGGAGGGCGTTGGAACCTACGAGAACAAAGTCGTAATCTACTTATTGTTTTTAACATCTTAAGACATAGCTGTTGTTATCTTGTAGAGCATCACAAAATTTAGAATAATTACAAATTGAAAGATCAAACAAATTCCTAGATAATCAATAGATAATTAAGCATTTGGAGGTACGGTGGTCCTAGACTTAAATAAAAAAAGCCTTACACTTTTAACAACAGCAAATGACTTACCTAAACTAAAACAGTGTGGGATGAGGAAACTCAGTGTTTTGGTGTTTCTCAGGACTCCTTAATGGGTTCAAAACTTTTTTATTTTTCTATTTTATTTTATTCATATATTTTTTTTTACTTTTACTGCTGCATATCTTCCCCTGTTATTGATGACTGTCTTTAATTTAATTTTTTTTAACCCCTATCCTGTCTTATACATTTGTATAATCAGACCGTTTTGATCCTTTACACCCTCCCTACAAAATATGACTTTAGTTCAATGATGCAAATGTAAATTAATAAAGACAATCCAAAACAGAGAGATTTTCTACTCCTCCTGGCTGCTTTGGCCACCAAGCCGCTAACACTTTAGAACCTTTACTTCCCATTTTACCCCCCACTTTCAATTGCAACTCCAGCATTCACATCAAGGCAGTGTGTTTCAGCTACTGCAGCCTGTCTGGTGGAGGCTGTATTACCTGAAGGAGCAGTGGTTGCGGGAGGGAGACACACTCAGTGGCTGCAGCCTGTTCTGCTGCAGCCACTGTTCCCCGACGCTGACTGAGCGGCAGCGAGGTTTCACCATCTGAGGAGGAGAAGCAGACGCTAGGAACAACAGCAGACACTGCTAATACAATAATTATACAACTATGGAGGACTCCAGTTGATCTTAGTAGCTTAGTAGATATTAGCTACAAAGACATTGAGCTTAGTAGCTACTAAGATGTTACTAGCTAACATGTAGTAGATGTTTCTATACATACTGTTAGTAGTGTAGTAGCAAACACGACTAATACAATAATTAGCTCAGTTAGCTCAGTAGCTAACTAAGCTAACATCTTAGCTTGAAAATGTTACCTAAGATGTTAGCTATTAAGCTAGCTTATCTACTAACAGCTACTAATGTCTTATTTGTTTCATAAGACATTAACAGCTAACAGCTACTAAGATATTAGTAGCTAACGTGTGGTAGATGTTTCTACACCCTGTTAGTGCAGCAGACACTACAAATATAATGATTATACAACTAGGGCCCCACTTTGATCTTAATAAATGTTTGGTTATTAAGCTAAATGTCTTAGTAGTTAATGTCTTCGCTACTAAGACGTTAGCTTCTAAGCTAACGTCTTAGTAGATAAGGCATGAGCTGAAAGTCTTATTTGCTAGCGTCTTACATGATAAGACATTAGCTTATCAGCTACTAAAACATTAATAGCAGATGTTTCTACACATATTAGTAGAGTAGTAGCACACACTACTAATACTATAATTATGCAACTATGGAGGGCTCTAGTTTGATATTAGTAGATGGTTAGCTTTAGCAGGGCCTATTTTTGCATTAAAGCACACCCAGGCTCAGACTAAAGACTCACCGGAGCGTTGCTGTGGCCGGGTACCGAGCCAGAAGGGGCCCAGCCCTGACTGCACGGGCTTCTGGGGGCCATAGATACCTGAACAGGGCTGCAGGCCTGGAGAAAGAGAAGAGGAGAACTTTAACTCAGCAGGTTCACTTTCAGTTTGTAAGTGGAGTCAGATTCTAAGATACTGATGGATGTTATCAGCTTCAATCTAAGCGAGACTTAAATAAGCAAGTTCCACTCATTCAATCAATCAATCAATCAAATTTTATTTGTATAGCACATTTCAGCAGCAGGGCATTTCAAGGTGCTTTACATAATTAAAGAAAAAAAATAAAATAAAAAAATAAGAACAGCATTCATATGCTTTCCTTCAGGTTTCCACTATAATCTATACTAATCTATACAATAAATCCTTCCTTTTATATCAGTTTACATCGTACTGGTTTCCATAACCAAGGACCAACTTCAGTGTTATTTTAACAGTTTTCGGAAAGAAAAAACAACAGCAGCTCCTGAAGTGAACTGTTTACAGAAGCAGGTGGCAGTAAAGACCTTCATGCTAGGTTGTAGCATTACGTCACTCATGGTGTAGCTCTGTTACATTAGCTCTGACTTGTCCTTCTCTATACTTTTGTTCGTTATGTTTTGTTGAAGTGTTACACGTTTGGACAATCATTCCGTCTGGTCCTTGATGCTGCGTCTCTAGGATCATTTTTGCTCTCACTCCTTTGCTTTTGCACAGTTGTTGTGACGTGTAACCGTGGCAACAAAGTGTTGGGTTTTTTTTTTACACCTGGAAGCAGCTAATTAGCATCAGTCACAAAACTGTCGTACAGTAACAATCTTCAGTCAGAAGCCTCTTGAGATTTGTTAAAACACTGACTGCTACTGGAGATACTTTTTCTTTCTTGATATGTCCTGCACACAGCGTCGCCGTTCACAACAACTCCTTGAAGGATCTCGAATGAACTTTAACTTGCAATAACTCTACAATAACACACAGTAAAGTAAAAAAAAAAAAAAGAAGCACGAAACAGTGATTCAAACAAACCAGTCTGCTTTTATTTGTTTCAAACATATTAATCCCTAATCTCTAACTCAGCTTTTATCACTTTTACTTTTACTCTCACACACAGCTTTGGCAGCATTATCCTGTGCATGAAGCATTTTCTTAACATTCTGCACTTTACTTCTTTGAAAATGTGTAGAAACACGGAGCAATTAGGTCTGTTCTGAAATCTTCCGCTTTGAAACACGGACTAACTTCTACGTTCCAGTTAAAGCGAGCAACAAATCGACTAAACATTTTTACTGTCTCTCTGACTGATGTGTACACCGGACCGAAAGCATTACGACAGCTTCACATCGAGGGCATTTCACTGCGGCTGGCTTTACAGCACAAACAGGAACAGGAAGAGCAGGGCGGCAGATCATTAACTACACTCAAGGCTCTGTGGATTTGTTTGAATTAATGACTGTTTCTTTTCTTTTTCACATCAGACACACACCGAGGGGACAGCTTGGATCATTTTATGAAGCTTATTCAGTTATAAAGCAGGACGACACACAGGAGAGCAAACACACACGGTTATGTTCAGAGAGGGAAACCTTTAGACAGATTCAGACTCCGACAACCTTGACGATGAACCAGAAAAGCTAATCAGGCTCAGACTTTTTTTTTTTTTTGTAACCTGCTCTTGTGACAAAACAACTGAACTGTCACAGTGTTACTGATCATTTCCTGTGCCGTTTAACCATTTCCCCTGGCCGCGTTTCTTCCAGTGAGCCCAACAACCTGGCAGAGGACTGAAACAAGCTTTCAGAACAAAGCACAATAAAGTATTAACCATGTTAATCCAGGCAGTAAAAGTGAAAACGTCTGGGTAAGAAGGGAGACCGTGAGAGTCCAGGTTACAGTCGCCTCGGCGACAACAGGTCACAGCGGAAATTAGGAGTAAATTCAAAACGTATGAAATGAACGGCTTTGGGAGCCACTTTTTGTTGCTGTTCGAGACAGAGCAGGCTGGCTGCTGCCAGTGACCTGTTTTTTTTTCTTTTTTTCGTGGCTTTCACAGGCCGGCAAGAGTCTGGTCTCGCCGACAGAGCAAGTGAGCCAGCCGGCAGCTTGCGCTCTCTCTCTCGCTCTCTCTCTCTTTCTGTCACAAAGCATCCATTTACAGGCTCCGTGGCTCAGGGTAAATGCAGGTCAGCAGTGAAATGTGCTGCTTTGTGATGCATAAACAACGCTGTAGCTCATTGGTTCGTTAGATGTTGTCTGGTAAGGAGGGTCTTTGAACCAGCACTGTTAGCATGTAACATGAAACTCCTTCAGTGCAGAAAACACCCTAAAACAACCAACAATGTGTCAAACTACAGAAATCGTACTATATTTTCTTCTTCTTGTGATTCTGTTTTCTGGTAGACATTTTTCAAAATGGACGCCATGGTTATAATGGAGAATATATGTTTGTGCTAATATTGGCAGTAGATATTGCCAGTGGCGGACGCAGCTAGCCAAAATGTTAGGTTCACTAAGCAGTAATTCGCTAAACAAGAATTTTAGCTCCGCTAACACTAAACCGCTAAACATTTTAACCCTTGTAGCTAGAAATGGGGTCCAACCGACCCCACACACGTAAAACTTGTATCATTTTCCACAGTCCTCTACGTTTGCCTCAGTCCTCGAACGCGCAAGGGTTAAATATGAGAAGCTAACACTAACCATAAAATTGACTGTCTCTCAGTCGTTTCCTTCATCTTCATTTTGCTACATATTATCATTTTAAAGTTGTATGAATTGGATAACCATAAACAAAAACATATGATGTGTCATAAAGTTCGTCCAAGTCATGAAAATAGGTAGCAACTTATGTCAACAACTGGTTTAGAAGGTTTTTACAGTAATACGTTGCCCTGCACCTGCCTCGGTTAAAGTCAGCTCATGTTTCAATAGCAATAAAGTAATAATAGAGTTCCAGGACCAAAACCACAGCTGACCGAGACCAACTCAGAGACCCGTCTATCCCAAATTGTTGCCTCGCTCCCTGTCTGCTCCCACCTGATACAGATGCTCCGTGTGGATCTGCCAGAAGCTGCTGGGGGCAGACTGGCTGAGCGGACTGGGTCTGGTCGCCCCTGGCAACGAGCTGGAGTTGGACCTGGGCCTGTGAGCCGCGGGGATCTGGAGCTCGGATCCCGACGGAGACCCGCACGAAGCCCAGCTGAGGAGAGCAGCAGAGGTCTGGCCCAGAGTCTGCTGGGCCGGACCGGCAGCGGGACTGGGACCGGAACCGGAACCGGAACCGGCCTCGATGGTCTCACAGCAGATCTTGGTGTAGTAGAAGTCCTCCTCTCTCTGGGACTGATCTGATCCACTGCTGCTTGTGAGTGTGTGTGGGGGTGGACATGGTAGTGGACACACAGAGGGAAGAAGAAGAAGTGTTACTCAGAGCACCACTCACTGTGGCCCAGATAGAAACTCTCACTTCTCCTCACCAACAGAGCTCTTCAGAACGCTGAAATTTTTATTCCCTCTTGTTTTTTTAATGCTGTTTTGAAGCTGAGAAATGTCTTTAAAGGCTAAACTCTCTGGTTTTCTCACCCACTCAGACTGGATGGTGGTCAAGCAGTTTGCACGCAAGCCCCCCAACATCAGACTGCCATATGTCACCACAAACCCAAACCAATGGACGGATCAAACACACAAATACAAACCATTTTCCCTATTTCACCATTAAAGCTGTATGAGGCAGCTGAGACTTCACCTCATTTATTAGCAATATTAATGGTAAACTCTAAATGCTTAGCATTCAGTGCTTGATTATAGAAAGTCCATGTGTTAGAGTAGATCTGGTAATGAAGATTTCAGACTTTTTGGGGGGGATTAAATATTTAGAAGAATAAGGAACGATAAAATTGCAGTAACTTTTGAAACAAACAGCCTAAGAAAAACACTTGGCACAAAAGACTGCTAGCATAGACAAGATGCAACCAGAAGGGAATGAATTAGGAAGTAAGCAACAAGGCAACCATTATCGCTTAAATGTGGTGCATCTACTGATCAGAGGAAAAATCAGATTTGAAGTTACTGATGAGTGATCGCCACAAAATACAAAAAAAAAAAAATTAAATGGTCTGATTGCATTCAGCACTCTCAGTCCATCTCTATGAGAAGTGACATATTTAAAATGTGGTAAATGATTTTTAAAAATGAGGTATAAAGAAATTCGCAAGTAACTCACATGGAGAAGAGAAGAGAAGAGAAGAGAAGAGAAGAGAAGAGAAGAGAAGAGAAGAGAAGAGAAGAGAAGAGAAGAGAAGAGAAGAGAAGAGAGGCAACAATAAACTTTTACTCCATCAGCAGTGTGTGGTTAGTTTTAAAGACACTATAAAACAGATGCGTCTCCTGTTCTATATTCTATGTTCCCTCTATGCCCATGCCTCTACACTCTATCTATAGGTGTGTGTGTGTGTGTGTGTGTGTGTGTGTGTGTGTGTGTGTGTATTTCAACTTGTTTTCTTCTTTTATCTTTTATTTTTAGTCATGGAGCAAACACTATGAATAAACTGATGGAGTGAAACTGAGTGTTCTTGTGGGTAAAGCACCGATGATGTCAGCTCACCCCAGGTGCATCACACGGATGTGTCTCTTTATTCCAACAGAAGACGTCAGCACTTTGCCACAACTGGGCCACAGACACTTATACACACTTCGCAGGGAGCTCTGCGGGGAGAAAGAACAGGAAGCAGAGGTGAAGCGCGGGGCAGCATAGAGGGGTCGGCTGAATCCGTCCGCCGGCTAACGCGCCTTTCTTCCAGACGGCTCACCTTTGGCTTTTTGGCAGTGAGCTCCTCGCCCTGCTCCAGCTCCATGTGCAGGCCTTCATCGGGGCTGCTGTCCACCTCGGTGACAGACGGCGATGGGGCGGGGCTCCCGTTGCCATGGTCCCAGCTCCAGTAGCCGCTGCTGCCACTGTCGGAGAGCTCGCCGCCGCCGCTCTCCATGTCAACGGACGAGGACGAGCCAGCTGGAGTCGGAGACGATGATGATTTTAGTTTTCGAGAAGGCGTTCCAACATCGTTACCTCTCGATGCTGCCTCCTCCACAAAGTCAAAACTAACTTCCTGAGGTTTTTTTGAAGAGGTATAAACAGCAGTTTTGCAGTCAGCCGCGCGCTGTGCTGCTTCACCCAACAGAGAACAATTGGCGTCACAAACTGGTCGAGATTTGGGTCTTTTGTAAAAACGTCCAATCTCACTATAGCATATTTACTCCCCTGTGGTCCACTCCTCGTTATCTTAAGATTAATATTTATTTTACTGAGGCAGGTGAGTTTATATCAAACATGTGGCCTTGGTTCTGGCACAGTCATTGCATACAAGGACATAGGGCAAGAAAATAATAAACAACTTTGGGGATGAAGAACAAACTGGCAATAATGCTCAGTGCTTTATATGATAAATGATGCAATAAAAGAATTAGCTCTTATTTATAGTCTCTTTAAGATCCCTGATATTAACTATATTAAGATTATGTCTGTTTTGGGAAGGTTATGTACAGCACTTCAAACTTTTTTTTTTTGTAAGGCAAAAATAGAGCTTAAAAAAATGTGCAACATTGACCACAACTTTTTGAAAAAGGTACCGCAAAATCAGTCATTTTAGCCACAAAAACAAAACCATGGCAACATCGTGAAGGGACTCTTTTATGTAAGACTTCTCTGGAACAATCAGCTGCCTTGGCATTTGATTGGGCACTAAGAAACAATGTATAAATGCTAGGAAATACTGGCAATTGCTGATATTTAACAACTGTCCCAGTAGAAATACACTTTACAGATAATGTTCCTGACAGATCTACAAAGCCTTAGCTCCAATAGAATCAGTATTTAATACCACAGAATGCAGTCTGACCTGGACCCGGATCCGTCTGTGGAGGGCTCTGCACCACTGGGCTACAGGACAAGCTGGTCAGAACCATGGCGGCCATTATCTCGTCCATCTCCACAGACTCCGGGCTCCGGAAGCTGAAGAGCAACACGCAGAGATGTCTTTAAGCATTCGCTGTCATGGCGACCCGCTACACCGGCACCGGGTGTCACTCCCTCACCTGTACGGAGTGTCTCCTCTGGGCGGCATGCTGCTGAGGTGCGTGGCGGTGCCCATGTTCTGCAGCGGAGCGGCAAAGTTACCCCAGCCTGACGTCTTGGTCCTGTGATGATGGCCGAACGCCTTCTCAGCCTGGACGCTGGCCGGGGTGTGCAGCTTCAGGTGGCAGAGGGACGAGATGACAGTGTTAAAACATGTGAAGTTTATTTGTGTGGCACATTTCAGCAACAAGGCAGGACAAAGCGATTTTATACCATAAAAAATATCATACAGTCACTAATTGTTAAACAAGAAGTAAACATTAAATTTTTTCAAATGCAATCATCAGATCATCAAGCAAATATACATTAAATATAAATTAATTTTTGTAAAATTTCAAAATTTGACATGTCGAAAATAAATTAGCTTAATGGAAACACCCCAGTTGGTTTATTTCACAAAACTCCAATGGAAACACGTTTTTTTTTATTTTATTTTCTTGATCAACAACAGGATGTTACCACTAGCGGAAACTATGAAGAAGACAACAGGAAGTGGTTGGAGTATCGCGACGCGGCATGTTATCTATCGGCTTATCGCGTGATAAACTTATTTGCGTGAGATTTAATTTTAAAACATCGAAATTGCAAAATTGTGTTTTTTTGTTTATTTACATTAGCAGAATATTGACAGTTTTTTGCACATTGGTAATGGAAATGCAGCTAATTTCCCAGTTCTTATGAATCAAACAGGTGGGTTTTAAACCTTAACCTAAAGGAATTCAGCGCTTCAGCAGTTTTGTAGTTTGTTCCAGATTAGTATAGTATAGAAGCTGAATGCTGCTTCTCTGTGTTTGGTTCTGGTGACAGAACCAGAACCAGAACCAGAACCAGAACCAGAACCAGAAGACCTGACAGGTCTGGATAGTTGAGACAACAACCACAGATCTTTAATGTATTTTGTTGCTTCGCTGTTCAGTGATTTAAAAATTAACAGATGTATTTTAAAGTCTACATTAGATGTTTTATGTTTTTTTTATTTTACTGAATTTGTATTGGGTGAAACTAAAACTATGAATCTTGATGAATTCTAGGTAGAATATATTTACAGATGTAGGTTTTTTATTATCTTAAATGCAAAATCTATATATGTTTTTGAACAATTCTGGTGTAATTATTTTGAAGTCAATGTACTCCAGTTAATGATTAATCTAGTACTAAATTAGTTGACGATTATTTCAACAATAGATTAATCACATTCAGTCCGATAATCGTTTCAGCCCTCGTCTATTCTCTGAGCTCCAGGGAGCCAGTGGAAGATCTTTGAAGCCAGAGTGATGTGCTGCATCCTCCTGGTTTTACTGGATAAGGATGAATCACTGGACACACATGGTGTTTAAACCTGGAGAAAATCACAATTTGATCCTCTGCAACTAAGCCTCGCCGCCACGCTGTGAACAACACTGTTAAGAGAATACTTCCTGTCCATCTGTAGATGGCAAAATCTGCCGGGGATAAATGGCAGGAGGAGGAAGCGGCTGCCAGACTCAGAGCCACCGCGGTGTGTTACGATGAACTGAGGACGGAAAACAGGGATCCTGTTTGCAGGAACGCTTTGTGTTCCTCTGGAAAAGACTTAACTTTGCCACTCTTTCTCTACTTGTACGATTCAGATGAGAAGATAAAAAAACAACTTCTAAGTGGGAACATTTCATTAGAAGAATGATTTGGCTATGGCTCCGGCCTCTCACCGGAGTCTGCTGGTTGAGCTCCCTGCCGCTGTGCGCCGTCACCGGACCGTCCTGCTGTCCCACCCGGTAGGATGCCGTCCTGCACGGCCCCGTCCCACCACCGCTCTCTGGTCCCATAGCTGCCATGGTGCTGCTGCACACAGTGAGGGGGGACTCAGCACAATGTCACACTTGGCTTCAGACAAGACACCTGCAACAGATTTGGGCAAATGAGGCATTTGATCACTTTCTCAGTCATGCAAAGCCTTGAATTGGATTTCAGCTATTCGCAGAAAGTTCAGTACAATGTTGCTCTTTCAGCACACAGTTTTTTTTGGAAAGCCCTCCATAAGTTGCAGTGAACTTCAAATGAGACAGAGTATTACACTTTCAGCTTCTTTTCACCCTCAGCCTTCTCTCCTCCTTCTTGCTGCTCGTCCATAAAGGTCTGATTTGTGGTAACGGGGGCCTCCTGGCTGCTTCTCTGATTAAGGCTCTGCTTCCCCAGCATGACTGTTTAGGTGGACGGCCACATCTTGGTAGGATTGCAGTAGAGTTACATAATACACTGACTCACTATAGTGGCCACGATTTAGGTGTGTGCACTCATTTTCGACAGCAAAACACTGGCTGCGTAAATGATTTGGGGGGCTATTACATTTCAGGTTCCATGCGGTCAAACCCTTCTTGCTACAAACATATACGGACAGTTGGATGTTCTTTCTTTTGTTTTTATTTTGGAGCATCCTTTTGTTTTGTGATCAACTGATTGGTTGGGGAGGCTGACGTCAACCCACCAATATTATGCACTAGAAGTGGGCGGATTGATCCAAAAATATCGGTAATAGCCATACCAAGTATCGGTGTTCCGCATCCATGCCTGTGTGGTAATACTAATACTTTAGATTCTTGAAATTATGTTTTATTTTTGTACTGGAGTTTTTCAACTCAACTTCAAAAAAGATTTAGTTTTGACTTGCTCTCAAATTATAATTGTTTGCAACAATTTAATTTATGATTAAATAATTTTTTTTAGTGCACACAGATTATATTAATGTTATTAAAGTATTTTGTAAACACCTATAAACCTTGTCCAAATTCAGTCCTACCACTAAAACACCCAAAGGTCAGAAGTCTGATGATATATGTGACTTAAATAAAAGTATTGGTATCAGTATCAGTATCGGTATCAGTGTCAGCGAGACTGTATTTACTTGGTTTTGGATCGATACCAAAACTTGGAGTATCACACGTCTCTATTATGCACCTGATCCACTTCAGACAGTAGACATAAACATGTAACCACCAAGAACTGTACATGTTAATGCAGGACTGCATAGTGATATGATGATAAAGATTTGTTCTGAGATTTAACCAATGGAATCTGTTTCAGGTAATGTACATTGAATGCTGTGATATTAAAGCAGTGAACATAAAGCCAGATACAGAGGGGAAATCCCCCACCCGTCTTTACGAATGTTGCTCAGACGGATGCTGCAAGTTGTAGACAACATGCTCTGAAAACACACGTAGCTCGTTGTTAGCACATCGACTTGCATGATGTGAAAGTACAACATGATCCGGTTCCGTGTTTGTTAAGGAACAATGATAGTTTATGCCTCCTCCTTAAAATAGATCCAACTAACCAAGATGCTGAAGTTCAAGGACAAAACAGGTGGTTAGGTTACAAAATAATGATAGATGCAACGATATGAAAATTTGGACAACACTATTATGTTAATACTTCTGCTATGGCCAATTACCAATATTTGCCAATATTTTATATATTGTACATATATTTCATCACCCTTTCAATGTCTTGGAAAAAAATAAAAAATAACGACCACATCAGTGACTTCACCACTGATTCTTTTCTTCAGTTAAACTTCCCAAAACCCTTTTCTGCATCACTATCAATGTCACATAGCCAACCTCCTTGGATACCATTCCAGAAACAAATGGCAAAAAGATGGAAAAAACCTCTAGTTTTATCTGTTGGACCGATACCGATATGTTAAAAAAATGACAAATACCAAACACTAACCGTGTTTATCTACTAAGGTCCAAATATTGAAAAAAATTCAGATAACGGTAATATGCTCGATCCATAAGGGCACATCTACTTAGTCTGTTTTTTATGCTTTGTGCTTTCAACAACATCAGACTATATGTATTTATTTTATATTATACTCAGAATGACTAATTGCACTTTCTGAAGCATTTGAAAGAAATTTTCTTGCAGTTTATTTTTACATGTTTGACCAAGGTAGTCAACCTATTGTTTTATTTATTGGTTGTTATACTCCTAATTGACTGAACAAATTAAAGTTGTGTTGTTTTTACATGTGTGACTAAGCTTGTGAAGCTATTGATGTATTTGGGTGTGTTGTACTGGTGCAGAGTTAACTGATACATTTGTAATTCAGTACATTTATGTCTGTGTTTAAAAAACAGAAAGATTTCAAGTCAATTCAGCTCTGTTTTTCTGTATTGGATCGGTATCAGTTGATACTAAACATCAGATATCGGTATAGATATCGGAAGTGAAAAGTGGATCGGTGCATCCCCAGTTGTAATGTGACAAATTTAGAAAAAGATCAAGCTTGTACAAATGCCAGCAGAAAAAAAAGAAGGTCAATGGTTGATTTCTGTTAGAGCCAAAATATTCTAAATGAATCAAATATTCATCCTGCATCTGTGAGCCTGGTGGTGAAGAGCAGCAGCACCACAGGAGGTCCGAAATGATGAAACACTCTTGAAAGAATGGATTTAGTTCCTATCTTATAGCTGTTTGCTTGCCTCCTTCCCTGCAAAAACATGAGAGTGATTCAAACTCTGAGCAGACGTAATCTAACGTTTGGCTGCACGTACTTTGGCCTGCCGCCTTAAAAAGGTGAAAAGGGCACTGCTGCGTTCAGTTGCAGCAGGGACAGCTCAGGAACAAAACTTAAGCTGAAAAGCTTAACGAAATGGTCCCTCTGCAAAGATGGAGTATGTTTGCAAGTGCACAACCACTTCAAAGCTGCCAAAATCAACAAGCAATTCCTGAAAAGACACACCAGCAGAGACTCAGATGTTGGACATTTAAAGAATTTTTTTAATGTTGCAAAAAGTGGGTTCTCTTACTGTGTGTCCAAGTGTTAGAAATCAACTGGAAACCATTAACTTAGGAACCCTGGGGTGGCTAACGGATGTACAGTTTTCCCCCAGGATTTGCATGGGTTGGGCCCATGCAAATACTGGCATCTCAAATGAGAGCGTCTGAAATACTTGAGACGCCCTCTAAAACTGCTTCTAATTGCCTATTTTAATGGTTCAAACACCAAATATACATTTAAATGCCAGTCAGCGCCAAGGAAGCTGGATTTGGCTTCTTTACCAGTAACTTGTCAAGTGGCACTGCGCCTATGTATTTCAACTTACCAAGCTGCAGATTTTCTTATAACAGATTGTGTACTTGCTCTTTAGACCCTTTTAATCTCATGAACTCAATCATCATAGAAATCCTAGAAAACGCCTTCCTTTCAGTTTGAATGAATGAAATACTTAGAATTACATTGTAATTTGTTTGTATTGCTAACTGCCGTTAGCCTAGTCAGTTATTACATGAATGACTCAAAAAAAACAGTAACTTGGGAAACTGAAAAACTAATTGCAATGCTACTTGACATGCTATTGGCAGCCCCTTCCAAAGCAGCCAATCCTTGAGCGCAATTTATTTTCCTTGGTGTTGATTGGCTGAGCCCAGATAAGGAAGAGTGTGCATGTTAGCTTTTGCGTAATGCAGTGGAAACCTTTTGCGTTTCCACTGTATATATTCGTCCATCCATATTAAGGTATGTTTGGTGTTTAAACTTTTAAAATAAGCAGTTATAAGCATTTGAGAGGGGGTATCAAGTATTTACTAATTTTAGCTATTCGCAGGTTGCTGTGGTTGCTAACTAGTGAATAAAGAGGTCCACTGTATAGCGATTCTTGACATTGGGTTACATTCGGGGAACGGTAGCCGTGGCGTGGGGACAAAGTAAATTAATCAAAGAAAATAATATTAATAACAACAATAATAAGAAGAAAACAGAAGAGATGTTGGTTTTATCTTAAAGAAGAAAGTGCATGCACACACATAAAAACAATGTGAACGTATCAACCGTTGCTGAGCAGCAAATATTAAAAGACACACAGCAAAGAAAAATAAATAAATAATTGCTTATTGACATGAAAAACGTTAATATTTGTATCTATATCCCGTCCAATACTGTTATCAAACCCTTTGCTGTGCATGTGGAAGTTGTTTACTCCATTTTAATCCACCCCCAGCGGTGCATGGCACAAGAAAAGCCCCACTGTCCTGTACTTTTCCACGCACCTAAACGCAGCACAAAGCCCTATTTTCTAGCCCCCCCCAGCTCTCCGCCAATCAGTGCGCGGTGTTAGTAGTAAACAAGCGGCACAGTGTGGGCGGAACGCGGCCGCTGATTGGCTGAGCCCCGCTTTCTCGGGTACACACCCCCGCTCCAGCAACGTGTTCGGACACGAGTTTCACCGGGAGGGTCGGAGCTAGATGAGGGAATACGGCTGAAAATATCTAGAGTTTTTTCCACGCAAAGTCACGTTAAACCGACCGCAAAACGGTGGAACCGCAAAATAGTGCAAGAGGAACCTAAACAGGGTTCTGCTATAGACGTAAACACCGAACATTTTAATTTTAGTCTAATAAATACCGTGATTATTCCAATATAGATCATATTTGTTGGTGCATATTCAAAGGCTGCAGACGTTATTGCGGACAAAAATACATCTAAAACAGTATAGATGCTGAAATGGAGTAATACGTATTTTTTAAATGCATGAAACGCGCGATTATCAGAATTTATTGCGTTTTATGATGAGCTACAGAAAGAAATAACGACAGAAAAGTGTCAGTTTGTCATCCGCCCCCCCACCAACAAGCTCACTGATCTCCACCCGGCAACGCAGACCGACCTCAGGAGAAACACCCCTCCCTCCTCCCATGCTGTAAAAGAAAACAGATTTTTTCTCTCTCTTTTTTTTGCAACAAGAAAGACGCGCAACATCTACCGCCTCGTATACAAAATTCGATTTTCTTACTTTTTCGACCACGGTCCTGACCGTCCCGGTCCGAGCTGCTGCAGCAGCGGATCGTCGCTGCCTGCCTTGCCTCGCACTGCCTCGGCTTGTCCCGCCGCCCGCTCGCCGGCTCTACAGTCTGCCGGAGGAAAAAGGGGGTTGGTCGGATACGTGCCTACGTGTGTCTGCTTGGTGGACCAATGCCGGAGGTGACAGCTGGGCAGAGCGCAGAGATATCAGCCCGCGGCACGGCGCACTGTGCACAAGTGGATGATGTAGGTGAGGGGTTACCAGAGCAGCAGCAGCAGCATCCACTGTGTCTGTTTCCTGTCAGTCTGTCTGTCTGTCTGCAGCACAGGCACATCGTCCTTGTTGATTCTGCTCATGTGTTTTCAGGCAGATAAACATCTAACATGGCTCCCATCCAAAAACATAAACAACCAAAATAGATTTTTTTTCTTCTCTCCCCCTCTCTTGTGGTGTGTTTTTTTAAAAAAAAAAAAAAAAAAAAGAATAAATAAATAAATAAATAAATTCACTTGTTTGCAACAGATTCCCTAAAAGAGATGGCCAATTTTTGAGAACGTATTCTGCAACCACGAGGTCACTCAGAGTTGACCTAACTAATGCCTCATTAAAAAAAATGCAAATTCCAAATGTACAACACATGAATATTTCCTGTAGATTTAGTCTAGACTGTGTAATCTGACTGCTATTAATCCAGTTTAAGAGAAGAACCTCCATACTAATTTGAACAAGTGTTTTTTTTTCTCAGCATCAAACAATCCATCAGTTTAAAAAAAACACACGCACACACACAGAAAAGTCAAACAGCTGACATAATTGTATTCTCGCATATCAACCCCCAACATCACACGACGAATCGCCTGCGTATCACACAGCACACCACTGTGTGTGTACGCAGCATGTTTGTTTCTGTGTTGGAGAGGCCGGATTAGTGTCGGCTGTCTGCACCCTCTCCACCAGACATCCAGTCAGCAGGGATTTTAGGCTCTGAGCGCTGATACAGTCTGAGAGAGTACAGCGGAGGCCTTCTCGCAATCGTACACCTAAACCCGATACAATTCCTCTGAATTGAACCTTAGTTTTACCCTGGGACACTCGCTAGGCCTCAGCTGGATTTGAGGCGATTGGAAACCAAGACACTACAGTTACAGAGGTGAGAGTTAACAAGGATTTAATGAGACCTTATTATGCTGTTGTTTACCAGGTTTTGGTGGATTAAAACTCAATCCACATCCCATGAAACGCTTGTCTTTTTATTTAATAAGAACTCTGTGGTAAAACGTCTACACACACAATGTAAATCATTTCAGAACTCAACATTATGGTGACATATGCCTTATTATTCAACTAGCATTTTGTTTAAGGTCAAGAAGATGGTTGTATATGCAACAGGGTTCACTGACAGTAAAGGTAAGAGAAAAAAATGACACACCATTGCATAGGCACAGTGGCAAAATGAAGACGATTGTCAACATATCAGGCATGCATGGTTAAAATCTCCCAAAACATTGTGCCTTGGAACGTGGTTTGGTCGGATAGAAGAACAAAACTTTCTATTGTTCTTGTTTATAAAGAACTTTATAGAAATGATAAGTTGTTACATTGACGATGTAACATTGTGTTGGTAAAACAGTTTTCATGTAGACTAGCCCTGAAAGCCTTGAAGTTGATGTGTGCCTACGGCTAAGTTTAAAGTTCTTCATACCTCTAGGAGATTCAAATTCAGAATAATTTTCAGACAAGCATCTTCAAAGACAATAAAACAATTAAAAAGGAGTATACATTTATGGGTGGGGAAAAAGTATGTATATTTTACGCCTGCCTATTCACGGTTTGGTATTAGTGGAATTTTCTGAACATAACTTACTTATTCACGGAAAATTTAGCTATTCATAGATTTTTTTTTGTAGAGTATATTTAAGATATTTGAAAGAAAATGCAGCTGGGGAAACTGAAATACCTTGCTGCAAAGCTACTTGACACACTGTTGGGTGACGTTTGCAAAGCATCCAATCTAGAAGTGTCATTCATTTTGCGTGGCGCTCATTGGCTGTAGTCCCAAGAGCAGAGAAAAGGAAGACCGTTAGCTTCTGCAGTAGTCCTGAGACAGTTTCCAATGATATATAAATGCATTCACTCCATCTGCCTCCTATTCTGCAACTAACACATTTAGATATCAAATATCTAGCTCCTTGTTGGGGTAAAACACAACACCTTAAACATAGCTTGGTCATTTTGTTTGCAAAATAAGAGAATCAAAATGTTTTTTGTTTTTGTTTTAAAGATGTAGTAGCAGAATGAGTTGCAGAGATTGGTTAGGTCTTCAGGCCTTTATTGTTAAAAATGTTTTTTTACCTAATGAGCATTCCTGTCAACAAAACACATCAAAGGCTGCCTGTGGCCTCCATTGGCCCCAGATCCACCCGTCCCTACCCTACTGGTCTTTCCTGGAAAAAAAGAGAGGGTGCGGAAAAAGAGGTGGAGAATAGCATGTTAGGATGTATGTAACACACAAAGAGGTCAGGAAAGGAATGAGGTGCAGCACCGTGTCCTTCCTGCAGAAACAAACCTGCAGTCCAAGGAGATATCTGGACCATAAAGTAGAGAGTGAAGCATCTTAAGCTTCATGGCATCACCTCTGAAAACCACGTGTCATAAATATTGGTGTTTTTTTTCAACAACCCTGATTTCAACTGATGATTAAGAGGTGTTTGCTGAACTCTACTCATCTGAATCAAGTGGTAAAGCAGGGCAGCGTGCCTTCTAAACCAGGGTTGAAAAGCATTGCTCCTGACATGTGGGCAATTTGTTTGCATTGCAATAAGTCAGGAAATCAACACAAGTTTTTTTTTTTTTTTTTTTTTTTACAATTAATACGAGGGCATATTCAGAAATGTTGAGATTAATCTCAGAAATCTTCTAGAAAAAACAAGGAAATTTCTGGGCTCCATCCATCCATTATCTCACATGCTTGTCCCTTATGGGGCCACCAGGGTTGCTGGTCCAGCTGTAAATGGGTGAGGTGGGGTCACCCTGGACAGGTTGCCAGTCTATCGCAAATTTCTGAGCTCCAAAAAGTTAGTTAAATTTCTAGAAAAAACTTGGAAATTTTGTGGTTTCAAAAGCTGAAATTTACAAATCAAAAAAATTTGACGCTTGAAACTCAGAAATTCCTCGATTTTTTCTAGAAAAATTCTGAGATTAATCTAAATTTTCTGAGTGTTTAGGCAGAAATATACTCATATTTTTGTCTACAATGGCCCTAATACATCATAGTACAGTTAATCCCACAAACTCTCTGTTGAAAATGCTAACTGGTGACCTTCCTTACTTATTGCTGGGAGATGCTGTAGCACTACATACTAATTACAGAAAATATATGGATAGATAGATCCCGTCTTACAAGTCAACTTAAGCTCACAGATGAACACAGGTAAGCTAAGGTGCAATTTGGAGATAATTTACATTATTAGATGTGTGGGATTGGTTTAAAGAATCAGAGCCACGTAACCCTGGAAGAACGTCTGCATACAAGCAAGAATGTTGCTAAAACATTTAAGCTAGCAAACTTTTGAGCAAGTATATCTGAACTAACATTGTTGGAAATAACTGCATTTTGGTTATGTGCTTATACAGCTGTGATGCCAGAAAATGACCAGAAAATGACCAGGGGCAGGTTGATATGGAAACCATACATTTTATATTAAATCTCACTGCCAGATCTCAAAGATCCAGATAAAAAAATAAAATAAAAAATACTAACAAATTTAATCTGAGATTGAAACAAATACACAAAGCAGTTCTGATAGATAACTAAGAAGACAGAGCAGTAAACAGTCTGGGAGGGTGGTTACTGGATTAGTGGAGGGTGTGATTACAGCTGAGTGATCAGTAACAGCAATGACATGGTGGTAACAAGGAGATCAACAAAATTAAGCTAACTGACGACATGCAAGGGGCAATGACAGACACAGAACTCAAACCCACATTCAGGGTTTTGTCTGGAATTAACTATGATAAACTAATCCTCAAAAAAAAAAAAAAAGAGACATGTCTCAAAACCCTGAACCAATTCAGATTAGTAAGTCTGGTCACCCAACCCTCTACTAACCACTTTTGCCCTTCCTCCATGATATCCCTACAAAAAGCACAAATATGGAACAGAATGGGTTTTCACAGCCTTTAATGAACCGTGGCAGGAAAAGCAGGCTCAATGACAAACATGCCTTTTATTTGGGCCTGTGGTATTTGAACAGGTCACTTGATTTATATGGTAACGGATGGCATGACAACAGGCATTACAAGAATGACGACTCCACCCTGCTTTCAGGCAGTTTTATTTGAATTCTACGAAGTCCCTGGTGCCTCTCCTACCAAAAATCAGCTGCAGTGTTTACATTACAGGTCATAATTTAGCTAAAACCTCACATGCATCACCTAGCCAGAATGGAGACTGTTCAACCACTGGAACAGGAAGAAAGTAATAAAATAGATAAAAATTCATAAAAAGAATAGTACGAGAGAAATCTCTCACCGAGAGTTAAGCACTTCAACAGGCAAGAAAAATATTTGGTATGAAAAGAAACATCACACCACCACCATCAGGAGCAAGATGATGGTGGTATGGTTGTCCAAAAAAGGAACAAAAACATGCAAAATACAACTTGAAGCTGTAAATAAACTCAGCTGAGGAAACAATAAATCAAGGGTAGTTTCTGTAGCAAACGGTAAATATATTTATGTTGTAAAGCTGGAAAAAATTTTGTTAATGGAGAATTATGGAGACTCAGTGTGACAGTATCTAAACAGATATTGTCAGACTGTTTTCAGTCTTGCCATACGGTTCCACATTTGAAAAAGACATTACGAAGGTCTTGTGAAGAAACAAAGAAGTTTTTCAGTAATATCAAACCTTGTCATGCTTTTGAACTATTTGCGTCACTTTTGTTGTGCTCTTTGTAGTGCAGATTTATCAGAATTAGGGATATAGAATACACAGTATTCTGCCTTGACACTGTGGGGTCAATGCTCTAGCGTTTAGTGGTCCCAATTTCTGAAATATTTATTAGATGAATTAGTCAGAAAGTACATCATGCCATCAGTTTTACTTTAGGTTCAAGCATCTTTCACCCTAGGTTGAGTGAACCTTCATCGGCATAGACAGAGGGTTTGCATAGGACTGCATGAGAGTAATGTCATTGCATCTATGGCATGTGGTAGATTTTTTATTCAGACTGCAGAGTTTTTTGACATGTTGAAACCCCTCCAAGGCTATCAGGCTTGACTGATGAT